TATGCCCCTTCTATGTCCCTCCAACTGACCAATCAGATTCCACCTCTCGTATCACTTGCATGTGCTTCAAACAAAATGGTGGTGCCGTCAAGATCGATAATCCAGTTTTATATTGTAATAAAACGGGTCTTACCTTGTGAAGTGCATCAAATCACTTGAGCACCTTGATTAAAAACATAGAAAGATTTGCAAAATATCTGTCACACCTAGTTGCTTTGCAAATCCTGCAATTGAATGAAACCTGCACGGCAGATTATGAACCGGATGTCAATTTCGTTACAAAATGTTAGCCAAAATATAGTTCTGGAATTCCAGCCTAGTTTGGCAAGGGTGGAAACTGGACTTTTATTGTCCGTTAACTCCCTTGCTTCAAGAAGATGGGTTCTGAAAGGTCCCCAGCATCGTATGTTGGTCATATGAGGCGACTTATGGATCAGGCAGTCGGGCGCTGTGACTTTGTTGTCATTGTACCCGGACTGGTTTGTCTAGTCCAGACTTGATTATTTACATGCCACTATCCGATTGCTGGAATATCACTGAGTGAGGCATTAAACAACATATGAACAAAGACACAAAATCATTTGACTAGATTATTTTACAGGCCGCCGTCAAAAAGCTGGAATATTGCATCATAAACTGATAGTGTCGCATCACCCCCTTTCAACATATAAGTCAATGAACACCAAGAAATAAATTCAAATTTATTGCTGTTAACAGTCATGGTGAGAAAATCACAGACGTAAAGGTACCTGATGTAGACTATTCCATAGATACAGTGTAACATGGAGACTTTGGACATTGTACACAGGAGGTAGAGGGTCCAGTCAGGCAATACAAAGACTCTGGCCCACAACTGAAGTGAGCAGCAATACAATGAGTTAACAGTATGTGTCACTGTCACCTTTTACGGCAAGCATGGGTTGCTGAAGAATAGGTCTTCAGCAACCCATGCTTGCCGTAAAAGGTGACTACGCTTGTCGTAAAAGGCGACTACGCTTGTCGTAAAAGGCGACTACGCTTGTCGTAAAAGGCGACTACGCTTGTCGTAAAAGGTGACTAACGGGATCGGGTGGTCAGGCTCGCTGACTTGGTTGATGCATGTCATCAATCCAAACTGCATGGATCGATGCTCATGATAATAATCACTGGATTGTCTGGTCCAGACTTGATTATTTACAGACCGCCGTCATATAGCTGGAATATTGCTGAGTGCGGCGTTAAACAACCAACCAACCGACCAGCCAATCACATGGTCTTTGACATTGATAGTTCCCCACAATCTGACCTCATCCACAACAAACATGAAGAGGTCCATGGAATCTAGGGAAATCTAATTTCAACATTTCGATTATGACAATGACACTTCACTTTCGTCCCAGAAATATTCACTTGACGTGATCTATGTACTAAGATCTTCACACAGTGAGGACTCCTATTGGAGTAAAGGATTTGACATTGATTTTGCTGCCTCTCAGTTTTTTCAAACAAACAAGTCCACAACATCATTAAGACCAATGCAAGCAAAGTACTAAATAAAACCATGTATATATCATTATATACATGTTTCAACCTTATCTTCAGGGAGAACTGTTCGTGTTGTGTGATTATTTTGTGAATTTCTTTATATATGTGCTGCTGTACTCTAGTGAATTATATTATATACATGTATATATTCAAAGATATTTCATTTTTACTGTACAAAAAAGTGAATAGTTTTTGGAATTTTTGTCATGAAGACTGAGATTCTCTAAACATGTACGGCACATGAAAATTTTTTTTCCTGATCCCAAACTAGTTTTATTCAATATATACTCAGAGACCATATATCACATGGTCATTGATATACTGATGGAAAGATATAAGGGAAGAGTACTGAGGGCATGTGTTACAATGCATATATCCATCTGATGTTATATATCACCAGGATGATCACCATTGATTGTCATTACGGTGAATTCATAAGGTGCGAATATTTCACTAAGTGGCTGAATTATTGATACAATACATGTACACATTTAATATTATGTATAATGAAGCATTTTGATTTTGAGAATTTCATTTCCCACTGGATCATTAAGTACTATCATGTCATGCATGAATCATTTTGATTGAACACTGAAGTAATCATTATTTGGTTTTATTGCTAGGTGTTCCCTTTCTTTTTCCTATGAGTATATATAATATAAATGACTAAGTAACAAGTGACCACAGTATTGATTGTCCACATATATTATGTCAAACTCAGATAAGGCGAAAGTTAATCCTTGAGTAATTATATATATTTGAGCAGAAAGGTGGGTTGCAAATTATCACAGCCTATGCAATGTATGGACAGGTTTTAAAAAGATTATATAAATATAAGAACACTGAAATAATTTGGAAACAGAGATTAATGTAAACTATTAACAGTAGTTCTATCAAAGTTGATAACAATGGTAAAACTTTCAAAATCATAAAAACAATAGGTCCAAATACAAGCTGCATATTGATCTGGCGATAATAGTTATCCATTCAATATTGTGCTACAGTCATCTAATTCACATACACATTTAGCCAGAGTTGACATTCACTCCATATACTGATCTAGCCACTGTTGCCATTCAATCCACATTCTGATCTATCCACTGTTGCCATTCAATCCACATTCTGATCTATCCACTGTTGACATTCAATCCACATTCTGATCTATTCACTGTTGACATTCAATCCACATTCTGATCTATCCAATGTTGACATTCAATCCACATACTGATCTAGCCAATGTTGACATTCAATCTACATTCTGATCTATCCAATGTTGACATTCAATCCACATTCTGATCTATCCACTGTTACCATTCAATCCACATTCTGATCTATCCACTGTTGACATTCAATCCACATTCTGATCTATCCACTGTTGACATTCAATCAACATTCTGATCTATCCACTGTTGACATTCAATCCACATACTGATCTAGCCAATGTTGACATTCAATCCATGTACTCATCTATCCAATGTCTACATTCAATCCACATACTGATCTATCCACTGTTACCATTCAATCCACATACTGATCTATCCACTGTTGACATTCAATCCACATACTGATCTATCTAATGTCAACATTCAATCCACATACTGATCTAGCCAATGTCAACATTCAATCCACATACTGATCTATCCAATGTTGACATTCAATCCACATACTGATCTAGCCTATGTTGACATTCAATCCACATTCTGATCTAGCCAATGTTGACATTCAAATCACAAACTGATCTATCCAATGTTGACATTCAATCCACATACTGATCTAGCCAATGTTGACATTCAATCCACATACTGATCTAGCCAATGTTGACATTCAATCCACATACTGATCTATCTAATGTCAACATTCAATCCACATACTGATCTAGCCAATGTCAACATTCAATCCACATACTGATCTATCCAATGTTGACATTCAATCCACATACTGATCTAGCCAATGTCAACATTCAATCCACATACTGATCTATCTAATGTTGACATTCAATCCACATACTGATCTATCTAATGTTGACATTCAATCCACATACTGATCTATCCAATGTTGACATTCAATCCACATACTGATCTGGCCAATGTTGACATTCAATCCACATACTGATCTATCCACTGTTGACATTCAAACCACATACTGATCTATCCACTGTTGACATTCAATCCACGTACTGATCTATCTAATGTCAACATTCAATCCACATACTGATCTAGCCAATGTCAACATTCAATCCACATACTGATCTATCCAATGTTGACATTCAAACCACATACTGATCTAGCCTATGTTGACATTCAATCCACATTCTGATCTAGCCAATGTTGACATTCAAATCACATACTGATCTATCCAATGTTGACATTCAATCCACATACTGATCTAGCCAATGTTGACATTCAATCCACATACTGATCTATCCAATGTTGACATTCAATCCACATACTGATCTATCTAATGTCAACATTCAATCCACATACTGATCTAGCCAATGTCAACATTCAATCCACATACTGATCTATCCAATGTTGACATTCAATCCACATACTGATCTATCTAATGTCAACATTCAATCCACATACTGATCTATCCAATGTTGACATTCAATCCACATACTGATCTATCCAATGTTGACATTCAATCCTCATACTGATCTATCCAATGTTGACATTCAATCCACATACTTATCTAGCCAATGTTGACATTCAATCCACATACTGATCTATCCACTGTTGACATTCAAACCACATACTGATCTATCCAATGTTGACATTCAATCCACATACTGATCTATCCAATGTTGACATTCAATCCACATACTGATCTAGCCAATGTTGACATTCAATCCACATACTGATCTATCCAATGTTGACATTCAATCCACATACTGATCTGGCCAATGTTGACATTCAATCCACATACTGATCTATCCACTGTTGACATTCAAACCACATACTGATCTATCCAATGTTGACATTCATTCTACATACTGATCTAGCCAATGTTGACATTCAATCCACATACTGATCTAGCCAATGTTGACATTCAATCCACATACTGATCTATCCAATGTTGACATTCAATCCACATACTGATCTAGCCAATGTCAACATTCAATCCACATACTGATCTATCCAATGTTGACATTCAATCCACATACTGATCTAGCCAATGTCAACATTCAATCCACATACTGATCTATCCAATGTTGACATTCAATCCACATACTGATCTATCCAATGTTGACATTTAATCCACATACTGATCTGGCCAATGTTGACATTCAGTCCACATACTGATCTATCCACTGTTGACATTCAAACCACATACTGATCTATCCAATGTTGACATTCAATCCACATACTGATCTAGCCAATGTTGACATTCAATCCACATACTGATCTAGCCAATGTTGACATTCAATCTACATACTGGTTTCATAGTCTTCAAAGAAACTTGAAGCTAGTTGTGGACTAGTCATCATCATCATCAAAATCGAAACTAGGGAGAGACGGCATGGACCAACCGCCCCCGCCCCCGCCCCCGCCCCTGCCCCCGCCCCCCCTACACTTGCATATGATCACGGAAACTATGATGGTAATAGCTGCAAAGACACCAAAACAGATCCAGACGATGGTTCCTACACTCAAGCCCCCACCTGCAAACAAACAATGGAATCATAAATACACCACTTACAAAGTAAACGAATGTTTTTCTATGCCATGCTTGGCAATATTCCAGCTATATCGCACTCTGCAATATTCCAGCTATATCACACTCGGCAATATTCCAGCTATATCGCACTCGGCAATATTACAGCTATATCACACTCGGCAATATTCCAGCTATATCACACTCGGCAATATTCCAGCTATATCACACTCGGCAATATTCCAGCTATATCTCACTCGGCAACATTCCAGCTATATCGCACTCGGCAATATTCCAGCTATATCACACTCGGCAATATTCCAGCTATATCGCACTCGGCAATATTCCAGCTATATCGCACTCGGCAATATTCCAGCTATATCACACTCGGCAATATTCCATCTATATCACACTCGGCAATATTCCAGCTATATCGCACTCGGCAATATTCAAGCTATATCACACTCGGCAATATTCAAGCTATATCACACTCGGCAATATTCCAGCTATATCACACTCGGCAATATTCCAGCTATATCACACTCGGCAACATTCCAGCTATATCGCACTCGGCAATATTCCAGCTATATCGCACTCGGCAATATTCCAGCTATATCGTACTCAGCAATATTCCAGCTATATCACACTCGGCAATATTCCAGCTATATCACACTCGGCAACATTCCAGCTATATCACACTCGGCAACATTCCAGCTATATCGCACTCGGCAATATTCGAGCTATATCACACTCGGCAATATTCCAGCTATATCACACTCGGCAATATTCGAGCTATATCACACTCGGCAATATTCCAGCTATATCACACTCGGCAATATTCCAGCTATATCACATTCGGCAATATTCCAGCTATATCGCACTCGGCAATATTCCAGCTATATCGCACTCGGCAACATTCCAGCTATATCGCACTCGGCAACATTCCAGCTATATCGCACTCGGCAATATTCCAGCTATATCGCACTCAGCAATATTCCAGCTATATCACACTCGGCAACATTCCAGCTATATTGCATTCGGCAATATTCCAGCTATATGGCATTCGGCAACATTCCAGCTATATCGCATTCGGCAATATTCCAGCTATATCGCACTCGGCAATATTCCAGCTATATCACACTCGGCAACATTCCAGCTATATCGCACTCGGCAATATTCCAGCTATATCGCACTCGGCAACATTCCAGCTATATCGTACTCGGCAATATTCCAGCTATATCACACTCGGCAATATTCCAGCTATATCACACTCGGCAATATTCCAGCTATATCACACTCGGCAATATTCCAGCTATATCACACTCGGCAATATTCCAGCTATATCACACTCGGCAATATTCCAGCTATATCACATTCGGCAATATTCCAGCTATATCGCACTCGGCAATATTCCAGCTATATCGCACTTGGCAACATTCCAGCTATATCGCACTCGGCAACATTCCAGCTATATCGTACTCGGCAATATTCCAGCTATATCGCACTCGGCAATATTCCAGCTATATCACACTCGGCAACATTCCAGCTATATTGCATTCAGCAATATTCCAGCTATATGGCATTCGGCAACATTCCAGCTATATCGCACTCGGCAATATTCCAGCTATATCGCACTCGGCAATATTCCAGCTATATCACACTCGGCAACATTCCAGCTATATTGCATTCGGCAATATTCCAGCTATATGGCATTCGGCAACATTCCAGCTATATCGCACTCGGCAATATTCCAGCTATATCGCACTCGGCAATATTCCAGCTATATCGCACTCGGCAACATTCCAGCTATATCACAGCAGCCAGAATATAATATCAAGTCTAGGGCCTACAAAACGATCTTAGCGCCAAGATGATCTTAACTCCTATACTATTCAGCTTTGCTAAGCATGCACCAGTGCAACTGATTTTTAAAAAATGCAATATTCATATGTACATGCACCAAGAGCATGTAAAAAAATCTCATATTTGTGTCAGCCTGACCCTTATTTTTACCCACAAAAAATTATAAAATATTTTTAAAAAATTGAACACACTCAAGGTTTATTTACTAAATTACATCACTAGTCCCTGTAATTTGTCACACTTTCTTGGGCTTGACGTCGTCAAACTGTGAGTATTTAGAATAGTGTGCCAATGTTGCTATTATGTTTTGCTGCAATTTGTCATTAATTTATGTGACACTTGCAGCAGACCAGCCTGTTTCAATTTTGATAATTTTTGGCCCAGGGTGATATCTGGTTTTGTTTGGTACAACTTAGTTTTCATGTCCACATATACCTGCTGCAAGTTAAACTAATTCCTTAAATCAAGCCCTGAAGTCCGGACCAGGCTTAACAAATAACTGTCAGCGGAACAAACGCCCCATGCCATTGGGTACAATGACATGCAATCAGAGAAATCAGAGGCCTGACAACCTGATCATTTTAGCTTCGACCAGTACTTGAGTCATGAGTGAGTGAGTGAGTTTGGTTTTAGGCCACTTTTAGCAAGGTTCCAGCAATATCACGGCGGGGGACACCAGAAAAGGAGCTTGACACATTGTACCCTTGTCGGGATTCGAACCCGGGTCTTCGGTGTGACGAGCGAATGCTTTAACCACGAGGCTACCCGACCGCCCCTCTTGAGTCACCTGAAGCCTGCCTCCTGCTGGTCACTGTAATCTCACCTTTCTCACTGAGGTCATAGTTGTCCCATATCTTGATATAGAAGCCATGTTTGTCTTTGTCCACGGGTCCGGTGCGGATGGCCTTGAATGATACCTCCTCTCCATCAGTACAGAAATCTTCTGGCATTGGCTCAGAGCATTTGACACTCTGCAACAGATTACATCAGACTCAGCCTCCTTCCTGGGACGGATATTACTCAGCCCCCTACCTGGGACGGACATTACTCAGCCCCCTTCCTGGGACGGACATTACTCAGCCCTGTTCCTGGGACGGACATTACTCAGCCCCCTTCCTGGGACGGACATTACTCAGCCCCCTACCTGGGACGGACATTACTCAGCCCCCTCCTGGGACAGACATTACTCAGCCGCCTTCCTGGGACAGACATTACTCAGGCCCCTTCCTGGGACAGACATTACTCAGCCTCCTTCCTGGGACGGACATTACTCAGCCCCCTTCCTGGGACGGACATTACTCAGGCCCCTTCCTGGGACGGACATTACTCAGGCCCCTTCCTGGGACAGACATTACTCAGGCCCCTTCCTGGGACGGACATTACTCAGCTCCCTTCCTGGGACGGACATTACTCAGCCCCCTTCCTGGGACGGACATTACTCAGCCCCCTTCCTGGGACGGACATTACCCACCCCCCTTCCTGGGATGGACATTACTCAGCCCCCTTCCTGGGACAGACATTACTCAGCCCCCTTCCTGGGACGGACATTACTCAGCCCCCTTCCTGGGACGGACATTACTCAGCCCCCTTCCTGGGACAGACATTACTCAGCCCCCTTCCTGGGACGGACATTACTCAGCCCCCTTCCTGGGACGGACATCACTCAGCCCCCTTCCTGGGACGGACATTACCCACCCCCCTTCCTGGGACGGACATTACTCAGGCCCCTTCCTGGGACGGACATTACTCAGGCCCCTTCCTGGGACGGACATTACTCATGCCCCTTCCTGGGACGGACATTTCTCAGGTCCCTTCCCTGGGACGGACATTACCCAGCCCCCTTCCTGGGACGGACATTACTCAGCCCCCTTCATGGGACGGACATTACCCAACCCCCTTCCTGGGACGGACATTACTCAGCCCCCTTCCTGGGACGGACATTACTCAGCCCCCTACCTGGGACGGACATTACTCAGCCCCCTCCTGGGACAGACATTACTCAGCCCCCTTCCTGGGACGGACATTACTTGTCTAACACCTTTAAAGAACGGATTACCTTTATGTCATCACCTTGATCAGGACGGATAACCTTTATGACATTCCCTTGATCGGGACGGATGACCTTTATGACAACACCTTGATCGGGACGGATTACCTTTATGACATCACCTTGATCGGGATTGATTGCCTTTATGACATTCCCTTGATCGGGATGGATGACCTTTATGACATCACTTTGATCGGGACGGATTACCTTTACGACATCACCTTGATCGGGACGGAATTACCTTTATGACATCACTTTGATCGGGACTGATTACCTTTATGACATCACCTTGATCAGGACGGATTACCTTTATGACATCCCCTTGATAGGGACGGATTACCTATATGTCATCACCTTGATCAGGACGGATTACCTATATGTCATCACTTTGATCAAGACAGATTACCTTTATGACAGCCCCTTGATCAGGACTGATTACCTTTATGACATCCCCTTGATCGGGACAGATTACCTGTATGACATCACCTTGATCGGGACGGATTACCTTTATGACATCCCCTTGATAGGGACGGATTACCTATATGTCATCACCTTGATCAGGACCGATTACCTATATGTCATCACTTTGATCAAGACAGATTACCTTTATGACAGCCCCTTGATCAGGACTGATTACCTTTATGACATCCCCTTGATCGGGACAGATTACCTGTATGACATCACCTTGATCGGGACGGATTACCTTTATGACATCACCTTGATCGGGACGGATTACCTTTAGGTCATCACCTTCATTGGGACGGATTACCTTTATGTCATCACCTTCATCGGGACGGATTACCTTTATGTCATCACCTTCATCGGGACTGATTACCTGTATGACATCCCCTTGATCGGGACGGATTACCTTTATGACATCACCTTGTTCGGGACAGATTACCTTTATGTCATCCCCTTCATCGGGACGGATTACCTTTATGTCATCACCTTCATCGGGACGGATTACCTTTATGTCATCCCCTTCATCGGGACTGATTACCTGTATGACATCCCCTTGATCGGGACGGATTACCTTTATGTCATCCCCTTCATCGGGACTGATTACCTGTATGACATCCCCTTGATCGGGACAGATTACCTTTATGTCATAACCTTGATCGGGACGGATTACCTGTATGACAGCCCCTTGATCGGGACGGATTACCTTTATGACATCACCTTGATCAGGACTGATTATCTTTATGTCATCACCTTGATCAGGACTGATTACCTTTATGTCATCACCTTGATCGGGACTGATTACCTTTATGACATCCCCTTGATCAGGACGGATTACCTTTATGACATCACCTTGTTCGGGACGGATTACCTTTATGACGTCACCTTGTTCGGGGTGACCGTGGTACATGATGAGTTCGTATGTTGAACATGACCTATCCCTGGGCCACTCCTCGAACGTTACACAGATCTCGCTCTTCTTGCTGTCCTGTACATCACGGTATGTGAATGTCTTCACACAGCTGGTGGTATTGATGCTGTCCACTATCTTCATGTGCATCTTGCTGTTCTGCAGGTAGTGTGTGGTTCCGCAGTTATGTAACATGAAAGCTGCAAAATTACAAAAGAGAGCCTCAGACGGACGGACAGACGGACAGACCGACCGACCGACAGACAGACAGACAGCATGTTACCATAATTTAACAAGCATCTAGCAAGCTTCGTGTAGAAGCAGTTATCTTGGGTGAGTGACTGAGTATGGTGTTATGCTGCTTTTAGCAATACTCCAGCAGTACCATGGCACGGGACACCAGAAATGGGATTCACACATTGTAGTGTTGACGGGCGAACGCTTTAACCACTAGGCCACCCCATCGCCCCTACAGCAGTTGGGTTTGTACAGACACTGACTACAAAATTATAACCATGATAGTAATAATGGATGTTTCAATATTTAAGACAAATGTGTTGACATAAATTAGAACTGAAACTCACCAACTCTGACCTGACTGGTAATTCTGGCCACATCAAGGAGGAGGGTGACATCCTGTATCCTGGCATCTGGCAGGGTGGTTTCCAGCACGATCTTCACGTTTGCAGCACTCCTGGAACACCACTCCATCGTGTCAGTGTGGCAGTCCAGGATCTGTGGCACATACGTTCAGTTAGTGGATCACTCTTGTCTAACCGATGTTATATTTGGGATAACACTTTCTTAGTGAAGTGAAGATTCTCGTACTTTTTTGGGTTGAGTCCCGTCCGGGATTCGAAGCCACACTTGCCAGCGATCTATTCATAGCTTTCGGCAATGGGAGCCGTGCCAATTTACACTTGTCAGAGGGGTACTCAAAGTACGTGATCTAGACTACCAGTTGTCAGACTTTCATTTTTGTGGAAGCCTCGGTGGCTAAGTGGGTTAGATCGCTGACTTTGTGTGCTGGCGATTAGGTGCCTCACTCTGGCAAGTGTGGGTTCTGTTCCCGGACGGGACTAAACCCAAAAAAGTACGAGAATCTGTACTTTACTAAGAAAGTGTTATCCAAAATATAACATCGGTTACATTTGACCACTTTCTAAATGGTATTGTGTATTCATCAATCTCTTGTCTGTTAAACATATTGTCACAATGGTTGCACAACTTATGACACTCAGTATACATTCTGTCCATACTTACCCTCTGTGCAGAGTAGTCTGTTGTGACAGGGACAGTCGTCCTAGAGGCATCAAATGTGTAATACTTGAGACGCAGCGAACATCGGTAGAAGTGGACTAATTGTTCGTTGATACAGACAACCTTCGACCCTGACATGAACGCTTGGAAGCACGGAAAGTAACCAGTCAGATTCTTGTCAGCATTGCTGTTGCCGCTTCGCTCCACCTTGAACTGGTTCTCGTCGTCGAGGTGCACCTTGTAGCTACAGGTGTCCTCCGTGTCCATGTACACTGGAAAGAAACAGTGCAACAATTAACAGACTATACTGCAGGGAGTGCCTCAGTTCACCCAGCAGTGAATGGGTACCCGGTAGGATGAGATGGCAATGTGGTTGTTAACCTTCTAGCGCCTAACAGGCAGCTTTTGTTGTATACTCCCCAGGGAGCTGAGAATGATCCTTGAGTGCACAATGATCCATTGATCGGGGTAATAATACCGCTTTGGGCTCATCCTCGATAATCAATGGTATAATATGTCCACTCTAGTCATCTTCCCGAGGCAAGAGAGTTAACTGACTTTAAAAGTCCAGTTTCTACCCTTGCGGAACTAGGTTGGAATTCCTGGACTCATTGGCTTTAAAAGTCCAGTTTCTACACTTGCTGAACTAGGCTGGAATTCCTGGGCTCGATGAGTTTAAAAGTCCAGTTTCTACCCTTGCTGAACTAGAATTCCTGGACTCGTTGGCTTTAAAAGTCCAGTTTCTACACTTGCCGAACAAGGCTGGAATTCCTGGACTCGATGGCTTTAAAAGTCCAGTTTCTACTTACACACAGTTGCTTACAACTACACACACATGGGTCATCACAGCAACAGATACAATTAGAAACAGCAATTAAAGCACATATGAAAACAAAGCTGACTCATTGGTATAAAATAGAGAATAAATGAGAATAATAATAATATATGTGTGAATACTCAATGGCTCTAAAAATTAATGTTTGTTTGTTGTTTAACGCCGCAATAATATAATATTCCAGCTAAGTGACGGTGGCTGTAAATAATAATCAAGCCTGGACCAGACAATCCAGTGATTGAGATCATGAGCATTGATCCACGCATGTGTGACACGATGACATGCATCAACCAAGTCAGCAAGCCTTACCAACCTATCCCATTAGTTGCCAGCATTGGTTGTTGAAGACGTATTCTAACCCGTAAATCATTGGGAGCTCGGACTGATACAAGTTATCCGACAGCAGTAATCACATTTCTTTATATCAGATCCACAAATTAATTACTGTCTTCATACTGAAACAAGACGAGCAACATACCAACATGTAGTTTTCCATGGACACTGCCTGACTGCAGGACCATCACACAGACTGCAAACACCCAAAGACTCCTGACACCAGTCATCTTCTACTGCAGTACAAGGAATCTGCCATGCGCCAATATCAAGCAGATCTGAAACCAATTCATGAAATTCATCGAGATGTCATCAATCTGTACCCTTCCGGATGATCTTGTTTTGCAAATACACATTACCGTATTCGACGTAATAAGCGCCCAGGGCGCTCTCAAAATTACAAATTGGGGGCTCTTATTAGAATATTATTTTGGTGGAAAAAAAACATAGTTGAAAGATAAATTTTGTGGTTTGTGCTGACAGCCTGAAATGTTTATGTACGACAGATATATTTTTCCAAAATTTAATTGCCCATAAATAAGGGTGCATATAACACATGTGTGCGTATTATACCGAATAAATAAGTCTCGTGTACATTGATCAATCAGAAGGGATGCTAATTGGGCTTATTCACTAGCAAATATATCAGCAAATAACGCTGTGGCCGCTTATTATGTTGAATACGGTAAGAGAAATTACCCCGAATCCTTGATTTTTTAAAAGTTGTTTAAAGGCATTTAGAAGGGATGCACATAAGGAAGAGAATTTAAGGATGTCAACTTCTTTATTATGAGGAACACAAAGATTCGGAGTATATGCTTACTCCTTCATCAGGTGAATGGTCCATTCACCTGATGAAGGAGTAAGCATATACTCCAAAACGTTGTGTTCCTTATAATAAAGAAGTTAACATCCATAAATTCTCTTCCTTGTGATGTTTTAAATTAATAATTTTGTTTATCCAGATGTGTGAGTATGGTTTTATAATGCTTTCAGCAATGACAGCAGAAAACACCAGAAATGAGCTTTACATATTGTACCAACGTAGTGAACGAAGCCAGCGTTCGGTGTGACAAGCGAACACTTTAACCACTAGGCGACCCCAGCGCCCCTAATCCAGATGAATTTACAGGGTTACAGTACAATATGGATTAATGAGGTAATCTGTGAATATATTGTAAAACAAACATTCAAATCTTTTTTATTTAATTTCAATTAACTGTTTGGAGATAAAACATGGTAGTGGTGGGTGGGGGTGCTCGTTCTAATGGGGGACATATTGCTCCTTGTAAAATAAGACCTATTCACATATCACATGTTAAATCATATTTGGTAGGTAGAATTTAGTAGGTGGAGTCACAAAACTCCCCCTACCCCTATTTAAACCTGTTAGCCAACATATGCACAATCATTACAATATTAAAAAAATGTCTCATAAACAAAGGACACCAATTAGATGCATGCATGCCTGATTCGTATACATTATTTCTTGAAGAAATAGTGAACGTTTTATGAGTTATGAATCGGAAACTAGGTTTTAATAACAGACGAACACACAGTAACAATGAGGGGTATTTGTTAGATTAAATACGGTACATGCCCCGAATCCTGTGCATTCCAGTCATAACTGTATTTCAGTCGGAAATGTACTCTTTAGGTTCAATGTATATTTCAAGGTTTTGACACCTAACACAAGTGGACAAATGTCATTCAGAATCTAAGTACTACCAACAGATTACATACGACATCAGTAGTAACAGGTTTCTATAATCGGTTCATTCAGATCCACATCTTTGCGGAATAATTTCCGTAGTCGGAAGACTAAACGACCCCAGCAACCGAAACCGTAATCACTGTTGAATAGGAACGGCATTTATGAACTTCTCGTGAACAACTGCCTTTGTAAAGCATTGGTTAGATATAGTTCGTTAAACTGTCAAACTGGCCTACCTTTGTACCCTTCGTCTCCTTTCTCACCCGCCACCACAATGGGGTTACTAAGTTTGTTACCGACGGGAGCTCAGATCGCAGTCAGGAACGACTGGGCCATCTATTCCTTTGCGCTGAGAGAGAGGTTGTCCTTTTTTCATAGACGGAACCCCGGCAAGAGGCTATTTTTAATCTGTGCGAGGTGTGTGGCACAATTAAGGTGATATGTGTGGATGAACTATGTATGACAGTGCGTACAATTTGTTTTATAATTTCATAATTTGTTTTCTGAGTAAACAATATATGTAGACCTCACTGATATTCAGAAGAACATGACACTGCATTGGACACGGAATGGAGTTTTATTCGTTTGGCAGTGATATCTGGCCAAACATATCAGTAAAATTATGTATGCGTTGAGTTCATATACAGGACCGTGTTACTACATCTACTACTACTAATGAAAATGACCTTGCAGACTTCCGCCTCGTCCGCGAGTTTGTTTGTTATTATTATTAGTTACATGGTCCTGTGGTTCACATAAACAGATGTCGTCATTCTGCTAAATGGTTTCTATTACATCACATATCGTTCAGTAAGTGGAGCGAATTACGTCACCAAACCAATTACCGCATCATACATTGGATGACGTCATGTTTCGTCACTACACGGATTTATTACCCATATGGTTAAATATAACCGAGTTAATAAAAATGGTATGTGCACTAGTGCAAATATCACTTCACGCGCACAATTGTATCGTTTGCCTCATCCGGACGTCATTGTTGACGTCATTCGAATCGTATTGTGACGTAAAGTCGAAATGATGTCACACTAGAAACGACACCATAGCTGAAGATTGTTGACGTCATTCGACAAAGTGTGTTTTTCTGAGACGGCCGCCGTGTAATAAAGACGTTATTACACTCGCACGTGTGTCCAAAACAATTTTACGAAGCTCTTTAATTGCTCGGGAAATACAAGAATTCTGACACTATTTTCGTAAAATCAGTATGAAACACATACTCGTATAATAATCTATATGTTACAGTACATATATTTCATTACACTTTTTATAATTTTAACAAATTAAACTTAAACTGGGAAATTCTAAAATTCGAAAGTCGCTAGACCAGTATTTCTCGTTTTTATCGCCACTGGTCGACCATGACGGCTGCTCCTTGGCAAGCTCATTCACGCCAACAGTAAATTACGTAATCATAGATAAAGTCGGCGCGTTCGTCCGCCCCGGCCCTTGTTCTATTGATAATGTTTTGTTACTAGCTGGCGCACGTTTTGACCAGTATCTAAAACCATAATTAAAATAAACTCTTGTTAGGCAATACTGATACTGTTCTATTACCACCTGCTTTTGTGTAGTCAACTTGGACAGCCTAGCGCAGATAACAGAGACCGAAATTACAACTTCAAAGTAATTGTTTTATGTGATAAGGGTAGAGCTGTGGGGGTATATAACTCCTTGGGCGTCGGTCCTCAGCACACTTGTTTGAATAAACCCTAAGGACCTCACAGCTCTCTTCTCTCTTGTTTCAAGGCTAGCTCCCAATAGCTAATTCCCCAAACCGAGGCCTGACAGTTATTGGGATCACCCCACAAGGCTGTCTTATATATATCCTATTATCTATCGTGTATTCCTTATTCAATATGCGATTGTAAGTATACCACTGTGCCTGATTTGCTGGAAGTTGTCCTGGAAACGTTGCTGGAACATATAGAGAAAGAAATACGTATTTGATACCATACATTTGAAATAACTATATGTCTCCATTCCCTAATCTACACGATACGTGATGATCCGGGGTAAAATAGGTCTTCAGCAACCCACACTTGCGATAAAAGGCGACTATGCTTGTCGTAAGAGGAAACTAACGGGACGAGATCGGGTGGTCAGGCTCGCTGACTTGGTTGAAGTATGTCATCGTATCCCAATTGCGTGGATCGATGCTCATGATATCAATCACCGGATTTTCTGGTCCATCCTCGATTATTTACAGACCGCCGTCATATAGCTGGAATATTGCTGAGTGCGGCGTTAAACAACAAACAAAACAAAACAGACAAATCCTTAGCTGTGTAACACAATTTACCTGACCTTGTTCATCATACAATCACATCATATCATAATTTTTTTTAGGTAAACGACACTTTGGGATTGTCAAAATATGTAACCAATACTTTACACATCTTGTTATAGCATATATATGAATGGAGTATCGGCCACACTCACCTAACACTGCAGTGTTCGAGGCAGACAGTTTTAGATTAAAAAACCGTTTTCAATCGTACACTTGACCCTTATCCAACTTGTCTACCTTTTCGAACTCCGAAAGGGGGGCACGGGTGGCCCAGTCGTCTAAGGCGCCGCGATTCGCTGTGCGGAGTTGCGTCCCTTGGGCACGCCAGAAACCTATGATTGTGGGTTCGAATCCCGGTTCGCCCCGATTATGTTTCTAGCTTTGTCAGCACCATACCCGTGATCGTGGGTTTCACCGAAGTGGTAAACGTATGAGACCTGCATCACCTCGGGCTTTCCTCCCACATTAAGCTGACACGCCGTGATATAACTGGAATACTGTTAAAAGCGGCGTTAAACCCAACTCACTCGAACCCCCAAACCTCCACAACGTACATTATCATGGCATTATCGGCTCCTCAAAGTTTGAAGAAGAAATCTGGTGAGACCGGTTGCAAAGAGTAAACATCTCAAAATATTTACCCATGCCTTCTTGGCCTACAGTGCTTTAAGTCTGCCGTTTTAGACCAATTAAGCTATATTGTTAAAACAAAAACGCAGAGAGCTGTAACAAGGAACAACTGCAACTACAAAACAATTTCTCAAAACGAGATGATCCACCACAATTTTTTAAATTTTCAAGTTTCACAGAAATTTTGAAGAATATTTAATTCTTTTAGAGATAAAAAACAGCATCACCAAACAGTATCAAATCTTCAGCAACTATAAGAAGTAGAAGGTGAAATGCATCTGGATGTAACTGCACACCAACTGGACTCTTCTTTTATAGCACAAGAACTAACTTATTTATGAAAAGCTGAAACAGGAACGGACTTATCACACAGCCTCGGCGAACACCAATAGAACAATTATATGCGCCAGACATGTTGTAGTTCTGTTTGTTATTTAATCAATCACACATCAATCACTGGATTGTCTGGTCCAGACTCGATTATTTACAGGCCTCCCTCATATAGCTGGAATATTGCTGAGTGCGGCGTAAAACAACTACCTTCATTGTTGAAAAAAATACGACGTGACATCATCAATAATTATTGTTTGTAACGTCACAAATTTATAACATTTCGTCACCTGAAAAATAGGGTAAATTCAGGCGTAAAACTGTATCCCTGAAAACTTCAACATTAATTCAACATTAAATATGTCGACTTCTTTCGTGAAAGCTTCGATGATATGAATGTCTTTTAATAATAATGAGATTGACGGGTTACATCAATCATAAAAAGACTGCATACACAGATCAGCAAGGAAATCAATCAAGGATGACTAACCGGTCATTAGTTCTCGGTATTTTCCGATCACGAACAAACATGAGTTAATGGTCTAATGTGGTTTTTAATTACTAAAAATGATGTATCAGGACATATGACAAAAGCGGGTCAGGCTCGAACACTTTTAAAAGATAGTTTCAGCGTTAGGAGAGTGGTACCGGTTTTACAATCAGTTGATCGAGTCGAATCTTGGTGGTTTCTATTACCCACTCTGTGACGAGCCTGTCCTGTCTTGTAGTGTTCAAGTAAGTCGGGTAGCCTAGTGGTTAACGCGTTCGCTCGTCACGCCGAAGACCCGGGTTCGATTCCCGACGTGGGGACAATATGAGAAGCCCATTTCTGGTGTCCTCCTCCGTGATATTGCTGGAATATTGCTAAAAGTTGCGTTTTGAGAGATGGACTGAAACTTAGTTAAGAAAATGTGAATATCAAACCTTGTTTGTGTTATTAGCAAAATGTTACTATGACAAGATGTTTTAATTACTATCTTCCAACTGGGAGATAAAGTATGGCTCCACTTAACAGCGCGTGCTGTAGGAAAAAGTGAATAGTTAGGCCAGATGTTTCAAGGCCCTCATTACATTGCTGATGAATTGCCACATTTTACCTACACATTCCGTCCTTGTGATGGCCACAGAGTGCTTAAAGTTCCTGTCCACGCTAACCGGCTTTAAGGTATGTCAACCCAAAATATAGGCCAACAGACCCACTTCCAGTTGTCGCTACCCCGTCTCCGTCTCCGTCTCCGTCTCCGTCAAAATTAATTTGATACGGACACTGACATGACAACCCCTACTTCTCAACAATTAAGAAGTAACAGTTACAAATACCCCCTTTGATTTGCAGGAGGATGGCGTTTTCATAGTAAAATAAACTCAACGCATAAAATAGTCAATGAAGAAGAGGAGGTTTATTGTATTGTAGGCCCCCGACCCCACATTCAAAAGTTACATAGTAAACAAAAGATTCAGCCACTTACGCAAACAAACGTTACATGCAATATCACATCAGTTCGGATATAGTGAGTGAGTGAGATTGGTTTTACGCCGCTTATAGCAATATTCCAGCAATACCATGGCGGAGGACACCACAAGTGGGCTTGACACATTGTACCATGCATGTCGGGAATCGAACCTGATTGAAATTTCTGGTTGTTTACGTAGATACTCTTTGGTTGTATATATTGAACTGTCAAATCACTAAAGGTTGGATATATAAACATAAAGTGAATTTCATTTCCTTTAATTTAATTACATGACATACATGTTCTCTCGTTTTTATTGGTATGGTTCTGCATCTCCTCGGCACTGACTGGATAAGTGTACGATTTCTGTCCTGCGGAATTCTGCGCCATTCTGTTTGTAACGCGTTGGCCAGTTGTGGGAATGTCTGCAGCGTATTCTGACGTTGACGTACACGTCGATCGAGTTCATCCCAGAGGTGTTCGATTGGGCCGAGATCTGGAGATCTCGACGGCCAGGGCAAGACGTTGATGTTGGCACTATGAAGGTAGTCTACCGCGATACGAGCTGTGTGCGATGGAGCGTTGTCCTGTTGAGGCAGCT